ATATATATATATATATAGAGAAACACGATCTGTCTGTCTCTCTCCCCACACACAAACACACACACACACACACACACACAGATATATCCACCCCTCTCCCTATATATATATAGATATATATATATATATATATATATATATATATATATATATATATATATATATATATATATATATATATATCACACTGCAGAAATCTCCTGGTCATCTTAAAGGTGCAGTAGGTGATCTGCCACAATGCTAACCGCTGAGCATATCATCTTTGGACGGTGGGCAGATACAGCCCACTAGTTCATGTCATTCACCAGTTAGAAATGTAGTTAGTGTCTGGCCGGCGGCGTGCAGGAATTACTCTCATGACTGAGCCACACTGACCTGCTGTTTCACATGAATATTCAGAGTAGCGGTGAATAATATCGGGAGTGCGTCACAGCCTGTCAGTGTTCAGAAATGAGCCAATGTGAATATAACAGCATCTTCAGCTCAGTCAAGCAGGTTAGAGGGAATAGTGCTGTTTACTGATGCTCTGATGGTAAACTGAATATAAATCTGCTAGAGCTGTGAACCTACACTAGTCTCACGATTCGGTTCGGTTACGATTATCATGCCATCCATTCGGTTCAATTTGATATTTCAGTGCATCATGGTGCATTGACGATGCTTTTCATAGACAGTTTTATATTTTCTTCACAGCAGCATTTCTTGTATTAAAATGTATGAATATATTTATATATTATTTGTAATACAATTTTGTCATTTAATACAAACAGTCAGAGATATAAACTGTAACTTTAAACAACACGAGCTTTTAGCAAATAATATAAACAAATATAAATATCCAGCTCAATTTCTGATCCTTGTCTAGTTCTCTTAAACCCCTTTGATTGGTCACACCCTCAACAAAAACGGTTGCGATTGGCTTTTGCGCGCTGCGCTCTTCACAGATGAGTGACACTGATAAGCGGCAGGCGGCAGCGGCGATCTCACAGCTGATGTTAGACACGGTGGAGAAAACTCTGCAGACACGCGCTCGTTTCTGTATGCAAAAGTAACGCTGTAAAACAGCCGAGAGGAGAAGAAAAGCCACGCCAGCAGGTCAAATGGGCCACTGGGTGTGTGAGAGAGAGAGAGAGAGAGACAGAGAGAAATGGAGTAGGCTACTTTCATTCTCACATTTTAGGTGCTTTATCTCAGTGAAATAGGGGCTATTGTTGTAAATGTCAGCTAAAGACTGATCCAGCAAACACACACAGTGAAATTGTGCACAGTTTATGAGTTTTAAGTAGTTAAAGCATTGTAAATACTCGCGATCGCCTCCCTCGCGGCAGAGCGCATATGAGGTAAATGACGTCAGTAATAACCGGTTATGATTATTACTGAACCGATACCGAATTGTCCGCATTGCAGTGCACCAAAGAAACGATTAATTTTGACACCCCTAAAATCTACATTATCTGCTGTAAAAAGACCTTATGAAGCTGAAAATAGTGGCCGGGAGATTTCAGTGGCTGAACAACACTTCTGTGCAGATAACCCATTCAGAACAACCCAGTCTACATCAGCTGTGCGAGACTGAAAGAGTTGAACTCAGAACATGACCTGTCTAACAGAAACACTTCAGCCATGGTGTTGTCCTTCCTGCAGCGTGCAGAACTCTCTCCAATACTGATTCAGGAGTTCAACAAGTTTCAGTTCAGCGTTTGGTTTTAATGTGCCTGTGCCTGTCTCCTGTGCAGGTGTCGTGAGCGTGCGGCGCTCATGCAGGCGTGCACACGCTAATGGCAGATCTGCGTGAACAGATGCACAGAAGTCCAAATCTACATGTGTTGACAGACTGTTCCAGCTAATTATCAGAATTATGGGAGATGTTGACCCGACACGGTTTTAATTGGATGAACATGTTTTAGTTTTCTGCCTCAGCCACAACATAAGAATAAACCGATTCAGATCAGTTACTGTAGTCGGCACTACTGGACTGTGAAGAGACTTTCAACCAGCACAACAGCACATGTGTCTGAAGACCATCACCTGCTGCAGCTTTAACTTGTACGCTGATTCAAATGAACCATATGAACCAATATTAGGTTAAACAGACGTAAAAGAGCTGGTGTACCTTATAAAACTGAGTTAGAACACGATAAATTTACTTTAATAAGTTACAATGACCAAAAACACACATGCTGTCAGCAATAACTGATCATATCAATATTTACAGTGTGTGTGTGTGTGTGTGTGTGTGTGTGTGAATGAGTGAATGCGAGTGTGTGTGTGTGTGTGTGTGAGTGTGTGTGTGTGTGTGTGTGTGTGTCTGAGAGAGACAAAGAGTGGGCATGATGGTTTAATGTGTTCAAGTGTTTAAGAGTGTTTTAATGTGCTAGAGGGTTATGAATGTATGCATGTGTTTCTATGTCAAGAGGAGACCATATTGACATTGTACCAGATCCTTGTTAAATGCTCTTCAAATATATCAACATCATAATCTCACATGTATGCGCACAGGCATATATACTGG